GAGCGCCTTATCCACCTGGCCATGCCGGGCCTATTTTTTAAAGTAAACATTTCTTAAATAACCTATCAAAAACCGCTTACATTATTCCAAACTTGTAAGCTGTCTCAATAGAGTATATTTTTGTAGGAATTTGTTTTAAAAATATCACTGAATAGTTGACATATTTACATAATGGTACGGTAAAAAAAACGTAAGATGTAAATTTTAGAAGTACAGCGTCGCACAGAATTATTTGTTTTTTTAACTACCCGACAACTTAACTTCTGATTTTATTTTTAAATACGTCTATTCTTCAGATTCTAATGCATTTGTTCTCCATTCCTCTGTTTTATTTCTGTATATTACCAATAAAAATATCGGAAAAGTTGTATTAAAACAGATATATAAAACACGACGAAAATATTAATGAATTTGATGGAAATGAACACTGTTCCACCTTCTTATCTCAAAGTGATTCTTCTTTAATGATACGCAAAGTGTTATTCAAAAATAATAATAATGTTTCCTGGTGGCTTAGCGCTAAGCTTGAGGGCTTATAATGCTAGAATTCAAGGTTTGATCATTTCGGTGGACACAACGCAGAATGCCGCTGTCTAACTCTGTGCTAAAGAAACAATTGTGTATCTCTGGCTGCAATTATCGAAAACATTCTTTGGTAAAGGTAATTTTTTGTGCTTTAAAAATCCAGTAAGCTGTTGGAAGTGTTAAAGTCTTTCTCTTAGCTTTTACTTAACTTCATTTTTGATTCTTTGCTCTAACAGGTACTAATCCTCGCGAAATATATACACATTGCCGGTTTCATGCTATACAAGAAAGCAGCTACATCACGAGGTGGCACTGTGATCGCGCGTAACAAACACCAGCCGCTGTTTATTAGCCGAAAGCGTTAGACGCTTTAGTGCCACTGCGTGTGTGGTATGTGGCTAGAAGGGGACATGTGGCGATAGAATACGAGAGACGCTGCAAGATTATGTGAATAGTTAAGGTCGAAAGTTTATCTGGATTATATCAACCCTGATATGGCTGATTCCCGCACTATTGTGGAAGGATCTGTGAAGTATCGTGATGGCAGGAAGGTAAGCGCTAATCATCTGTTTCCTTAAACTTTAAGTCAGTAAGATTTAAATTAGTGAGATAAGAACTTTTACTTTTGGTGCTTGAAAGTCAGTTGACTCTTTTATTTCTTTTGTTTTAGTGGAAGAATCGATGGTGCGTTCTCTCCAAACTTTCTCCAGTTGCAGGTGTGTGATGACTATTTTTATGAGTTTTGTTATATCTTTCAAATAAGTTTTTGTTTCATTATTTACACAAGGAAATGTAGTTTTTTCGCGTCTTAACATCTCTTAAAAGTAATGAGAAAGAACAGAATCTCAAACAGTGTTTATCAAATTTACAGTAAAAACTAAACTAAAAAAATAAAATGTTGTAAAACTAATCGTTTACATGCCTCTTGTATATTAGCTATAATATTTTAAACCAAAATTAATGTTTCATTTATATCTGTAGAATGTCGACCTTTAGTTAGTTCTAGGTTTGAACACATTACAAGGCGACCAATACCAACTCGTCATTGTTCAAGCTACAATAGGAATACTAATTTTTGAAAGGATTTGTGTTGTTGTTTTTTAGGCGGGGGGGGGGGGGGTCCTAATTTACATCAACCAGTACGCCAGGTTATAAACCATTAAATTCAGATAATGTCTAATTATGGTGTTTGTATTTTCATGAATTATTAATAAAGTAGTCGTTGGGCTAACAAAGCTATAACACGATTATATTTAACTGTCAGTAAACGTATCTGGTTTCTCACTAGGTTTCTATGATACACCTAGCTCTGTAGACTCGACATGTCTTGCCTTTGTAAACTCGACGCGTTCTTGATTCTTCACACTTGATGCACTCTTGATTTTGTGACACAAGGCGTTGTTGACTCTGTAAACTCAGTGCTTCTTGACTCTGCAGAGTCGAATGCATTTTGATTCTGTAGATTCGACGTGTTCTTGATTCTGTTGAGTATAAACTCGGTGCGTCTTGACCCCGTAGAGAGGAACGCCTGTTGATTGTGTGGACTTGACTGATCTTGCACATTTAGATTTGTGACATTTTGTATTATATAAAGATTCGACTCATCGTTTGTAAAGAACTTGAATATGTACACTCAACGTAATAATTTTATTTCTGACCCTTGTTTTTTTAGGAATAAAAGTGCTATACCATTTTTATAATAATACTTGTATACGTCACCTAGATGTGCACTTCATGCTATCTATAGTCGTGAAGTCTATAACTTTGGAATATGTTGCTCCATATGCCTTGTGGGTAGAAAATTCCACTTTACTGTATGTGTTTTTAATTTAGTTATTCAAATATGCATCACGAGCTGTAAAGTAAGTATTATTTCTTTTGGGTATATACTTCACTCAGAACGTGTTTTATCTTTTTACTTTAATAATTTCAAAAAGCCTTGTATTTCCGTACGTTCTATCTTTCTTATAACCGTGTATGTGATCTTTGTTGTAGCTATGTACTCGACCCTTCTTGTATACGTGACTCTTCTTCTAACTGTACTGTATACATGATCTGTTTTGTAACTGTATACGTGAGCTTTCTTGTAGCTCTATACTTGACCTTTCTCGTAGCGGTGAACTTGACACTCATAAAAATGTTTACTTGATATTTTTGAGGCTGTACAATTTTAACTGCGCACTCGATTCATCTTAAGGCTATATTGTTGACAGCCTCAATCCTTCTTATAGTTCGTATACTTGACTCGTTTTCTAGCTGCACACTCGATTCATCTTAAGGCTATATTGTTGACAGCCTCAATCCTTCTTATAGTTCGTATATTTGACTCGTTTTCTAGCTGCACACTCGATTCATCTTAAGGACTATATAGTTGACAGCCTCAATCCTTCTTATAGTTCGTATATTTGACTCGTTTTCTAGCTGCACACTCGATTCATCTTAAGGCTATATTGTTGACAGCCTCAATCCTTCTTATAGTTCGTATACTTGACTCGTTTTCTAGCTGCACACTCGATTCATCTTAAGGCTATATTGTTGACAGCCTCAATCCTTCTTATAGTTCGTATACTTGACTCGTTTTCTAGCTGTACACTCGAGATTTCTTAAGACTATATAGTTGACACGCCTTGAGTTTTGACACATTTTATAACTTTGTTATTGCTTATTATGGGTGCTTACTTGTCTTGAAGATCTACTATTTAGACACTTCTGACAGATGTACTTTTACAGTGCAAACTGAACACTTCTAACAAGTAGTCATCTACACGCTCTGTAGTCTTCTGTTTTAGAATCAACGATGGTTCTAGGTTCAGCTGTAGCTTTAGTCTTGTGCCTTCTGCTGGAAATCATTACGTTTTATAGTTGTTGAGAATACGCTTCTAAATAAGAATTATTATTTTTTTTAACACATAGTTTTGCCCAGAATGTTGACATTTTACTGATTCTATGTCATAGTGACGATATTAAACAACTGTATTTACGTAGATGTGAATTGTTTTGATAAACAACCAATAAATAATTATTCATAAATAAAACAAAAGATGATTTCCTTACCTATGTTTTTCGCTTTTCTAAATATCACTTGAGAGAGTTTATTCCAATTTGCCCCCCAGTGGCACAGCGGTATGTCTGTGGACTTACACCGCTAGAAACCGGGTTTCGATACCCGTGGTAGGCAGAGCACAGATAGCCCATTGTGTAGCTTTGTACTTAATTCCAAACAAACAAACAGACATTCCAATTTGTCTGTATAAAACAATTGTGTCATTTTATCATTTTCAAATATTAGTTATAAGACATCAAGAAGGCGTTCTACTTATCTTTCAAAGCAGTTTTTTTTTCTCTGAACGCCATTCACATTTTATACGAATATATTAAAAAGGGTATTTGCTTGAACTTGATAAAACATTTAAGTCATTGGTCTGTTTGCTGATTTTTGAAGTTTAAAATTTACAAAACAGTCATTGCTTTTGCAAACACCATAGCTTTCTGCAGAAATGTAACAAATGATAATATTTACTGCCCTAATGACCCGAACTAGGGTCCCACTTTATGGCGTGTTAAGGTTTAACTCGCTTTTTCGTTTTATTAAGATCACACAGATAAGAGGATATTCTTAATGTGTTGCGTGTCTCGTACGCTCATTTCGGAGAAGGTAGAAACTGCAAAAAAAATAAAAAATAATATTTTTAAATACCTATCTCGTTCTATAAGGAAATGAGACGAAAGTTTCTATCACTGCCTTGGTAGCTTAGCGTAAAGAGTAGAATATTTGCTGTTTAAAACTTTTTATAAAAGTAAAATTATTAAAGTGAAGGATGATCCTTAGAATAAAAAAAAAATCATTCCAAAATAAAAAAAAGTCACTAATTCTCATGGAAATTATTATCATTATTATTTGTACTTTCCAAAATATATCATTAAATTTCGTAAATTATAACATGTTGAATAAAATATACACAATTTTGAAACTTACCGCAAAAAAATAGAACATAAGCAACAAAAATGATTGGCTTGTAAATTTTCATGTAAAGCTACACAAAGACTATTAACTGTAGCCTTTCCCCAATTTTGCAGTAATAGACTCAAGGGGGGGGGGGCAGCTTCTCAGCACCAACCATTGGGAACTCTTGGGTGCTCTTTTCAGACCCAATTGTGGAATTTGATTGTGACTCTTATAACGCAACCACGGCCCCAAAGTATCTAGCGCGATTTATTTTGGTGCTCACGGGACGCGAACCACATAACCCCAGATTCACAATCCGACATGTTAACCATTGGCGCACGCTCGGCGAGACGAAAAGAGAACACTATGTGAGAGAAATGACACTCATAACATTGTCATATATGCCCTCTACAATATGTCAGAGAAATGACACTCATAACATTGTCATACATGCCCTCTACAATATGTCAGAGAAATGACACTCATAACATTGTCATACATGCCCTCTACAATATGTCAGAGAAATGACACTCATAACATTGTCATACATGCCCTCTACAATATATCAGAAAAATGACACCCAAAGCATTGTCATACAATGCCCTCTACAATATGTCAGAGAAATGACACTCATAACATTGTCATACATGCCCTCTACATTATGTCAGAGAAATGACACTCATAACATTGTCATACATGCCCTCTACAATATGTCAGAAAAATGACACTCATAACATTGTCATACATGCCCTGTACATGATATTCTCAAGAAGAAGATTAACCTTTTTTTTGTCAACAGTTGATGTAAATCTTCTTTAGCCTAGCGCAAAGTGTACGTAGCTATTAGTTAACAAGAGATAAAATTATTGGATAACGTGAGTAAATACATAAAGGTATAGATTTATTAGCTTCAATTGCTAAATCATTCTCAGTTGTCGACGTCATGGTTTCTGATGTAGAAATCCTAGTTTGCCAATTGCACCAGATCTCTGGGTTCCATTGCAAACACCATTATTTATTGTCAATACTTGACTTAAACAATAGACATTTGGTACATTTTGAAAATATGTATTCTATGGGTTGGCTCATTCTGTAACATACCTATCAAAATTAAGGATACAAAATGAAAGACAAAACGTTGAGCATTTTAATATCCTACCGAAGTTCATATGATTTAAAGTTTTCAAACCTCTAATTTCTACCCATTACTGAAAGAGCTAAACTGGAATTAATTTTTACGATTTTCATTCTAACGAGAATTCCCAGGAGTGAGTAGAAGTATACATCGATAGAAAAGTTAAAATTAAGGAATATCGTATGCTTTATTACTATTTTTAATTCATAATTTTTGGGAAACTGATCAATTTTTTTAAGTGCTGTATCCAACTTGAAAGCAAGGATTTATTTTTGATTTCAGAGAAACTTCTGTACAGAAGAGAGTTAAGATCAAAGTTTAAACGTACGTATATAAAAATTAGGAACTTGGTGGACTTATAGCAGTCTAAGGTGTGCAGAATTTGTTTTTTTCGTACAAAATATTTTCAGTTTCCTTTCAAAAGTAGCTTATATATAAATGTTGCTTTGCGTGAATAAACGAGTCATTAAGAACATATTAGGTACTGTGAAAACATAATGAATGAGAAATGGGCAACACAGACATCAATCAAAAACATGTTTTTCAGACTTTTTTTTTTATCTTAGTTCTAAGTAAACTTTTAATCACAAAGTAAAAACGCTTATTTCTTCTCGTGTGGTGGTGAAGATGAAAAA